CCAGGAGCGGCAGGGAGAGCCCGGCTCGCCGCGCCTCCCCACCCGCCACTCCTCCCGCGCCTCCCTGCTGCCCCACGACGGCCCCGGCGCCAGCAGCAGCAGCGGCGGCGGCAGCGAGGACGGCGAGGCAGGCGGCCGGCTGGGGCCCAGCCTGGGCAAGTCGCCCTTCGACGCCTCGCCGCTGGGCTCCGGTCTGTCCAAGCTGTCGCCAGCTGGTGCTTCGGGCGACGGCGGCCCCATCCAGCTCAGCCCCGCCAGCAGCACCGAGGCCAGCGACGTGCCGGCCGATGGGGCGGGCAAGGCGGCGGCGGGGGCGACCCCCGTGCTCCACCGGCGGTGAGCTGGGAGCTGGATGGGAGGAGGGAGGCAACGCCTGCATCACCTGGCCAGGCTGTGGGCAGCCCAGCCAGCTAGGCCCCCGCCCTCCTCATCATCCCACCGCTACACGCCGCACCGCACGCCTCCACCACCATCATCACCCGCTGCTGTGCTGTCCTGTGCTGTGCTGTGCTGTGCTGTGGCCCCGCAGGAAGGCGTCCTACGGGCGCCAGCTGTCGGTCATGTTCTGGCGCACATACACCGACATCGGTGAGGCCGGCCACGCTTGCAGGCTGAGGCAGCTAGAGGCCCACTGCTGCATAAGGCCCTTCGCAGGCTCCTCGCTAGGCGTCTCGATCTGGCTGCCAGGGCAGCTCCAGCAGCGCTTTCCTGGCACCAACCGCGGCAATGACTCTTCAGAAGTTTTGGATTGCTTTTTTAATGCCCGCGCCGCAGCCCCTGCCCCTTTGTTGACTGACGACTCCCCCTCTGCCCGTGCCGCTGCCCGCAGTGCGCAACCCGGCCCTGCTCTTCCTGCACTCCCTGGTGGCTCTGGCCATGGGCCTCATCACAGGGCTGGTCTTCTTCAACCTGGACGACACAAACATAGGTGGGGCTGCATGGGGGGGTGGGGCCAAAAGTTTATTTTTGTGTGTGTGGCTGTGTGTGTGTGTGTGGCTGTGTGTGCAGGCATGTGTAGCAGTGGTAAGAGGAGGAGGAGGGGTGCTGCATGTGATCTGGTGGGCAGGCACTGCCTGGGCGCCGCCTCCACGCATCTCCCTGCCCGCTCTGCGGCCCCCCCGACTGCCCCGCAGGCGTCCAGAACCGCATGGGCAGCACCTTCTTCGCCCTCGCCTTCCTCGCCTTCACCTCGCTCACCACAGGTGCGCGCCCCGGCCCCGGTCCCGCCCCTGCCCTCTGCCTGGGGCAAGCACGCGGCGGCCACCGAGGCCTTGCCCTGCGAGCCCTCCTACTGTGACGGACCTTCCTGCGCTGCGCCTGATCACGCCCGTGCCCCCATCTCACATCACCATGCCGCGCCACCAGAACACCGCCAGCAACCCCACACCCTAACACCTGATCCTGCTGCCGCCCTGCCCGCCCTACAGTGGACTTGTTGATCAGCGAGCGGCAGGTGGTGACGCGAGAGGTTCGGGGCGGCTACTACCAGCCCACCGCCTACCTGCTGTCCAAGCTGACCCTGGATGCGAGTGAGTGTGGCTGGTGGGCGGCTGGCAGGGCCCGAAGCAGCTGGCAGAACGTGGTTCCTGCAGGGAAGCAGCAGCAGCAGCAGGCTGGGGTGGATGCTGCTGTGCCCCGGGTATTGGCTGGGACCGGGCCTAGCCAGCGAGCCAGGCGCTGCCGTGCGCCCGTGCCGCCCCCCGACCTGTCTCACCTTCGCCCCGCCCACGTGGCGCCGCTGCTGCAGTGCTGCTGCGTGTGCTGCCTGCCATCTGGTATTTCCTCACTTTCTACTACCTGGCCGGCTTCCAGACAGGTGCGCAGGCCGGTACCGCGGGTGCTGCCTACCCAGGGCAGACGCCCCGCCACGCGCCGCTGCCGCTGCGGGAGCTGCGCTGCTGCAGAGGCCAGCCAAGCGCCCTTCCCCTCACGCCCTGCTGCTGCGTATGTGTCACACACACACACACACACACACCTGCTGCCGGGCCTTCCTCTTCTTGCAGGCGCCGCGTACGCCGCCGCCTACTGCCTCATCCTGGTCACCTTCAGCTGCGTGGTGGGGGCCATGAGCATGTGCATCACAAGTGAGGCGCCCGCCGCCGCAGGGGCAGCAGCAGCAAGCGCGCGTAGACTCGTGTGCTGCATTCCGGGCCGCCGCTCCCCAGGGCGTCTGCTGCTGCCCTCTGTGTTCCTCGCGGCCCCTGCCTGTGCGCCCGTCCCGGATGGTGTGGATGCAGCCCACGTGCCCCCCATCCTCCCCCATGTGCCCCATTTGTACGCACCCATGCTCTCCTCGCAGCCCCCACCACTCTCCAACCC